GCTCACTATACTATATACTTAATTACTATAACTATATACTATATAACTATTACTATATTATATATACTATACTATACTACTATTCTATATACCTTTACTATATACTATGTATACTATAACTATATATGCGATAAGAAGGACAAGATCTCACAAGTAAGTGACGACGACGGCGCGATCCTGTCCCTCCGCTGCGGCGATCCAAATCCCGATTCAGAAAAATATTTGGAGCTGACTTTTTTTTGTCTCAGCCAGACCGCCCGTAGGCGTTCACGGAGGGGGGGGGGTATAAGCCAGGCAGTTCTCCCCTCTCGTGGGGTGGGGATACAGGGCTCCTCCCCGGAAAAAAAATTAAAAAATATGAAACACTTTGTCACACTTATTTGCGCGATGCAGTTTCAAAACTTGCACCGTGTCAATTCACGGCTGCATGGCTCGCTGGCTAATACGTCGCTTCGTTTTTTTTAAGGTTACCGAATCCCTATATCGCGTGTGGGGCGGCATTTGTTGACGTCTAGCCGTTCCGGGCGTGAAGCCACACGGTGGACGCTGAGCGGCGGAACCACGCTGTTGCCGCGCCGCGGCTGCTTTGAGCGTAATCTAGATGCCGGGAGTTGGCGGGAGCGTCTGAATGTTTCCTCGACAGCTTGTTCCACGACGATGGCTCGATTTTAGTAACCGTTTGTAATGTACGTGATTGCTGCTGTATTTTACAGGTAGTAACTTCGTTGTTGCTGTCGTGTGTTGCAGGTACTATCTGATCCCTCACACTGTTGCTAGGAGCGGTCTCAACAAGCTGAACATCAAGGGCAACAAGTTCCACATGTTCAACAACCACATGTTCTCCGCCTCACACGTCGCAGGGTGAGAGAGAGATGTGAGACGGGGAGGAAGGGGGGTGAGAGAAGAAGAGATGGAGAGACGAGAGAAGAGAGAGAGAGAGAGAGAGAGAGAGATAGACGAGAGAGAGAGAGAGAGCAGACAGAGAGAGAAGCAGAGGCAGAGGAGAAGGGGAGGGAGAGGAAGGAAGGGAGCAGGAGAGCGAGCAGGAGAGGGAGAGGAGAGGGAGAGGGAGAGGAGAGGAGAGGGAGAGGGAGAGGGAGAGGGAGAGGCAGAGACGAGAGATGAGAGAGAGTAGAGAGAGAGCAGAGAGGGGGAGATCCCCCGCGGACGCCGCTGCGGACGAGAGGGTAGGGGTCATGTGAGAACAAGTGAACATCAACACGTCGCTGTATCACGCGTACGCCGGACGGTGTGTGTGTGTGTGATGTCACGCGGGGGGGAAGGTTTAGTGTCGCAACCGCAAAAAATCGGAAATCAAAAAAGCGAACGTAAAAACACGGATTAAATCGCCGTTGCACGATTAAAAGTGTTAGTGGCGTTTGTCTCGTTTTGTATTGAGATGCACAAGCTCGTCTATTTACTGTCAATCGTAGTGCAATTTTCTGGTTTAGGTAAATATTTGAGTGAAGTAAATTACATTCCTTGTATTGTAGGCATCGAGATAACCATGATAAATATGATTTAATGACTTTTTAAACTTAGGTTTTTTTTGTATTTTAGGTTATCTTATAACGAAGATTACCTGGAACACATGATCGGAGGCAGGAGAGATCCGACTAATCTAGCCCTACAACGAAAACACTTGTATTTGCTTGGTATTTATTGGTTATGAACATTGTGTAAGGCTCCATCCACTCACGTGCCATAATTAAATACCAGTTACTCATGAAAAAAACATGTATAATAAGGGTAGTAAATCAGGGTCGTTGCTAACTCGTTTTGGCAAAGCCACGTGAAGTTTGTAGTCTTGGCAGTTGACCGTGGGCAATTTGCCTTGTAATAATATCTACATTGGTCTTGAGGGAGCAACTATCCACCTTCATCCCCATCGACTTGGCTACGGCCCTGGTAATTATGAACTTTGAGGCAAAATTAATCGTATAGCTGTCATGGGTTGTGTGTTGTAGTGACTGGCACGTCCAAATCATGGCAGGTCGCTGTATGAGATTTGTTCGTACGTACGTTTAATTGGTAGCAAATCTGGTACTATTCACCTTAATTCAAACAAACGCCTATTCGGTTTTATACATTTCTGATTTTCCTCATCTTATATTGTCGTATAGCGTCAAATAGCGGACAGACCTGAGGTTTATGTTCATTTCACACAAACAAAGACGCTCATCAATATCTTTGCCTTTAGTCACTCACTGTCTAGTTGATACGGGCGAAGCGTACGTAAATGCGAGGCGCATGACTGGCTGGTGGGGTGGATGGGTGGAGGCTACGTGTTGATGACTGGTGGGTGGGGTGGATGGGTGGAGGCTACATGTTGATGACTGGTGGGTGGGGTGGATGGGTGGAGGCTACATGTTGATGACTGGTGGGATGTTCTACGTGTTACAGTGGCACTGCCTGCCAGGCTTGTGGCATGCTGATTCCAAGGAAGTTTGGACGTCAGGGATACGTGTGCAGAGGTATGCATTGAGTCGTAGAGAGCAGGTTGTCAAATGTACGTGATTTCGGGAAGGCAAGAATATTATTCATGAAAACCTTTCGATGTGAACCATAGCATTGGTTTTTTCCTCAACGTGTACCTGCTGCGTGTTTGGTCACTTGCAGACTCAGACTTGTTGAGTATGTTCATCAGAATTTTGAAGTTGTTAGACTTGTGAACAGTTCTGCTGGAGGCATCGTTTATTAATCTTCACTCGTGTGTTGTCTTCGTTTGTTACAGATTGCATGATGGTTGTGCATAAGCCGTGTCACTGCAGACTGTCAACTGAACTGACATGTCCGAAGGCTAGCTTTCCGCAGTTAGAGATGTCAGTATCATTCTCAAACAAATACGTTAGATTATTGTGAAATATTTGGACGTTTGTTTGTAATCTGCGCTACTAAACTGTGTACACACAAAAAGTATTGAGTTTAAACATTCAGCAGTCTTGATTCGGAGGTGATTCGGTGTCAAGTGTGATATCGCTGCTCCCTGCGGCTGCTGCGCGGGCCGGTGGCGGTCATTCGTGTTTCTAACATTGATCCGTGTTGCGGATTATCCGATTATTATTTCTAACATCAATCGATTCGTGTTTCGGATTATCCGATTATTATTTCTAACATCAATCCGTGTTGCGGATTATTACATCATTATTTCGGATCATCTAGGATTCATCTGGGGCCTAAACTTATCC